TCTTCTTCTTCTTCTTCTTCTTCTTCTTCTTCTTCTTCTTCTTCTTCTTTTTTTTTTTTCAAGACAGGGCTTCTCCGTGTAGCCCTGGCTGCCCTAGACTCATTTTGTAGATCAGGTCGTCCCTGAGCTCACAGCCATTCTCCTGCCTCTGCCTCCCTGAGTGCTGGGATTAACTGCGTGCGCCACTACGCGGCAATGTTTGTGTCTTTTATTAAGCCTTTGTTTAAACTGAGAGACGGCAATGTTTGTGTCTTTTATTAAGCCTTTGTTTAAACTGAGAGACGTAGGCATTCCCCTGTGCTGTCACCCCGAGCTTCACTTTCAGGTCGACAATTCTCGTGGGATTTACTGCTGTGTGCTTGGCGTAAATTAGAGAGGAATCCAATTTCGTATTTTTCCATATAAACGATCCGATGTCGAGTAGGACATTCCCCCTGCTCTGCTGTGCTACCTTTCATTATTATTTAAATTTTGTGTTTTTTTCGTGTGTGTGTGTGTGTGACACCTTTGGTATAGACTGTCTATGGGGGAGGGGCCGTTTCTTGGTTCTCGACTCTGACCCATCGGCACGTTCACCTCGTCAGCGTCCAGTTGACAACAAGCAGCTTTATCTTTCGGTCCCTCCTCATCTCATGCCTTGACATTTTTCTTTTTTTTTTTTTTTTGAAGCCGTTAAGGTTCATTCAAAGCTGATCCATTCGGAGGCTCGGAGGAGCGCGAGGGTCAGGTCCGGAAGGGGCGTGCTCAGAGGACTAACAGCACCGGCGAGGTGAGGCTCCTTCTCGTCTCCACGGCATCCTCCCCGGGGTGGGAGCCTCCGGCCGCGGTGCCCGTCACTCCGTGGGGAGACGGCGATGCGTCAGCAGGCTCCCTCGTCCTCGGCCCCGCGGGGGAAGAGCACGTCTCACACCCCCGACACCAGCGCGAAGAGGGGAGTCCTCCCCGCGCGTCCTTTCCCCGCGGCCCCACGCCCGCGCGATGCTGCCGGAGGAGCCCTGAGGCGAGTCCCGTCCTCCGCTCGGAGAAGCGCCCGGGGACGGCGAGCCACGGAGACGCCCGGACCACAACACGGGTCTCTGACCTCTAAGCGCACAAACCTCCGGGAGCCACTCGCTCCTGACCAATCAGGGGGCCCCTGGCGTCGCTATGCCCGCCCCCCGGCCCCGTCCGGCTACCTCATTCGCGGCTCATAAAGCAATCCGGCCGCTCGTTCTGCACGCCAGCCAATCAGAGGACAGGGGGGCGGGGACTTCCAAGCGCGCCTGAGTGCGGCCGTCCCCGGACAGCAGAGCCTCGGGATCCTTCGGCTCCTTTCGTTTTCCCTCCAGGGCAAAGTTATATTCAGTCGTTCCATCCACACGTTTATTTTTCCGCCCGGCTCGGCGCGCGTGCGCAGTGCCTCCCAGCCCAGGCTGTTCCAGAGATGTAAGACCCGAGAAGGGAAGCTGAACGGCCATCCTGCAGGTCAGTGCATTCCCCGCGCAGCCTCGGGTTGGTTCCTCCTTCCTGCAGGCCCCAAAACAGGGGATTCGAAGGCCAAAAAAGGTTCCGTGAGGTCCCACCGAGATTTGAACTCGGATCGCTGGATTCAAAGTCCAGAGTGCTAACCATTACACCATGGGACCTGCTGGCGGCTTTAGGCGCCCGGCAGCCTTCTCAAGCCACATGACGTTAGGCAACCTTCTCTAGGCTTCGCTACGCTCGGCTTGGGCCCCGGGTGGATGGCGGCGTCGGCGGGCAGACGCCGAACGGCCGAGATTCCCGCTCCCAAACGTTCCTGAGCCCCGAGGTGTCCCCTCTTCCGGTGCGCCTCCGTGGGTACCGGGCCCTCGCGCCCTCCCCGCCCCCCAGTCCGGGGGTCGGCGGGTTGTCGGGGTCGGACCAAGTCCGGAGGAAGCGGACTCCGGGCGGGAGTGCGCGTGGTTTACGTAGTTATGGTAGGAGGCCTGCGGCCGGGACGCTGTGGCCCAGCGGGGAAGGACGCGGGCCGGCGTGGGGTGGCTGGGAGCCAGCCGGGGATGCAAACGGGGGGATCCCGGGGAGGGCGCCCCGCTTGGTCCCCGCCGTCCCCGCTCCGTGCACAGATGGGGAGACGGGCGCTTCCAGTCTGCACTTCCGCCCGCCCGCCCGCTCTCTGAAAGCTCCTTCTAGAGTTCGGATCCTTAGAGAGCCCCAGTGAGATCTGTAACAGCAGACCTTCCCCCCAAAAGGAGGGATTTCTCCGCGCTTTCTCCGTCTCTCAGTTTTCACCGACTGTAAATGTGTTATCTGCGGGTCAGTCTAGCAACGGTTTTTGACTCGATTTCGCAGGAGGCTCTTTCAAGGAGGCTGTACGGCTGTTGTCTACTCTAATGCAGTGAAGACTGGCAGAAAATATTAAAAAAAAAAAAAAAAAAAGAAAATAAAGCTGTTCTGGAAGCGCGTTTTTAAGAGGCGCAGAAGTTCTTGTGGTCGCACATGAGCGCTAAGGTGTGCCATGTTAAACACACAGGGTTGTCTCTTGAGGGAGAGAGATGGACAAGCTGTTTTCTGCCCAAAAGGCAGGGTGTGGACGTGGTTTAATAGCCTGATGACCTTTGCACTGTGTGGCAGAGACCACAGCAGTCCCCCCCCCCCCAACACACACACCCTGTGTTTTCCGAGTCTGTAGAAAATACCCCCATGGAAGATGTCTCATGTACATGACAATTTCAGTGTGGTCATGTCTTAAGCTTTGTTGTGCTCGCGGGATTGGGTTAATTATCGCCAGGAAAATTTTCACCAATTTGTGCTAGGCTTAAATATGCCTAAAATCAACTACTCGACGTCAGACTCGAAGTTTGAACCAGCACTGGCTCCCGAGTCGCGTTGAACTGAGCCGCCTTCTTGCCTCCTGCAGATCATTGCTCAGCTGGCCTTGGTGGTCAACAGAGACAACCCCACCCCCACAAACTTGTATTGAGACAGAAGACAGACCCAATAAAAACAGCTCTGCCTTCCACTTCGGAAGCTTAAGGTGCCACCCACATGCAAACAGAAGAGCTACGCATTAATGCACTATATTTGTTGTGTGACATTGTGTTAGTCAGGGTTCTAAAAGGGTAACAGAGCTTATAGAATGAATATATATAATTAATATAACATGTTATATAAACGTATTATATAACAGTATTGGGAATGAATGTATGTATACATAATATTAATATACGTTATATTGGGAGGACCAGGATCCAAGAGGGAGCGAGGAAGATGGAGTCATGAACCCAGGAAACAGACTCCAGAGACCAGTGTCGAGGTGCAGATCTATTTTATTGTGAAGCAGCAAGCCTTTTTATACGACCTTTGGGCCAATGGGGAGTCGACAGGAGCTTTGGGGTAGCCAACCATCCCACTGTCACTGGAGGAGGTAGCAGGCCTGCAACACCTGAAGGGGCTTCTTGACGGACCAGGAAAGCAGCCACTGCCCTGCTCCGGGCACATTTCGAGGTTCTGGTAGAGTGCTAGGATCCTTTGTTTTGTGTCAGGAGATATGCCAGCAGATATGGGCACTCGGACCACAGAGTGGTGTGGAAGCCTCCCTCACCGACCACCCGTCCTCACCCAGGGTCCACAGCACCCACAATATAAATGTATATATTTACATAAATATCTCATAAATATATTAATATATGTCGAATTAAAGGTGTGTCTTCCCACCTCAAGATCTGGATGAAAAGTGGATCTGAACTATTTCAAATAAAACAAAAACCCCTTGAAGGCCAGCCCTCCATTTTTGGATTTAGTCAAGTTGACATCCAAAATAAGCCTCGTGGGTGTGGTGTATGTCTGTCTTACTTCCTTGAGGAATTCAATGTTTTGCAAGTCTGGGTGACACCAGAACTGTGCCCAAGGCAAATGCACTTACTCTCCAGGCTCAGTGTTCGTGTGTTCCCATGTGCTCACGCATGAACCTGTCTTTAGCTTGATGGGTTGGACTTGGACAGGATCCAGAGACTAATACTCAGAAGCCGTAGATTTTAGAATTGGATCCAATTCTGGTGGTGTCGCTGACACCCATTGACCTTAGTGCCATAGGGCAGCCATGCCATGGCCACTGACTCCTCAAGTGACAACCCAAGCAAACGGGCCTTTCTGGGTTCTTGGTCACCCCAGGCCCCTGGATTCCTGGCCACTTTCCTGAGCTTGTTTCATCCACCCCCTTCTAGTGCTATGCGCTATCCACCATCCTTCTGGTAAGTTCCTCTTCTGTATAATGCATGGCATCCTTTATAATGCATTTCTGTATAATGCATGCAGTCAAAAACATGGTTAGCCCAAGCCCCAAAAGCTTCGTTGTCGGCAGCGTGGCCATTTGCCTTTATAACTCTTACATACTATCAGGAGAAACACTAAATGTTTTCTGTTTTGAGGAATAAACCATTCCAACCTTGAACTTCTGTTAGGGGTTACCATCCTTCAAGGCTGAGCCTGAACACCAGCCATTTTTAGACCTCAGTTTTCTTGCTTGTTTCTTACAAAGGTTTTAGGTAGGAGCTGGACATTGTGGCTTAAGCCTATAATCTCAGCACTGTGGGGCCACTGGCAGGCTGCTCTCTGTGAGTTCTAGGACAGCTAGGGCTGCATAGAGAGACTTGCCTGCCCGCAAATGGTCCTATGACTCACACAGGACAGACACAATGTCACAGTCTCCCCCACCCCTGTCCTCCCTCTCTAGGGTTTCACTCTGCCCCATAACTTGCTCTGTAGACCAAAGATCAAAGACATCGTGACCACAACTGGCCTAGTGTGATTTCTCAAGAGCTAGCATAGGTCAGGATTATATCCCTACAGTGGGTAGGCCACAGATCCTTCTGTGTTTACAAGGTGACAGTGACTCCTACTGCTGTGGATAGAAACAGGTTTGTTTTGGTCCCAGGTGTGGGATGTGGGACTGATTCAGATGGTCCACAGCAGCAGACTGTTTGCCCTCATGCAGGCTCTGAGAGGAGCTCTGTGCCAGCTGAAGGTAGTTTAAATCTGAGGACTCTGGAGAGGGAATAAATGCCAGAGCGCAGAGAGTGGAGAGGAGAAAGGACAAGGCTGCTCCTGCTTCCTCCCTTGCTGCTCCTGGTTGCTGCTATGGGACAAGAAGATAGAGATCTCCTGAAATGAGGATTGGACCGGCTCCAAGGAACCTGACGACCCTGACCAGCAGGAAGCACCTAAGAGAACTGTACTCCTTCTCCCACCAACCCCTTCTCTCTCCTACCTGGTGTTGGGGTGTTAGAAGGGATTGGGATGGAGTAGGAAGAAAAAGATAAAAGAAATGAAATGTAAATCAGTTTTTTTTTTTAAAGTATGCCACTTTGGTGACATTAAAGAATTGCTTTCCTTGTCTTTGCTTGCTGCAGTTAAGAGGAAAGAGATTCAGTTTTTCTACCCACTGTCTCCATTTGATGTGGCTGGGAAATCTCAGAGTAGGCCCTAGAGCTTGCTAGTATTTAAATATGGCTACTGTCTTACCTGACTTGGTGACTGAACTGCTTGCTAGGGACATAGGAGCACCCGAAGGAAGAAATGTTCTCATTTTGGGCCTAGAGACTCTTAATACTATACTGTCATGTGACACTGCCCTTAGGAAGGTGTGAACAAACATAACTCCAATTAGGGAACCAATGACAGAGCAAAGTAAGGACACTACTCAAGCCCAATATAGTGGACCAACGAGTTTTATTGGGATTACTTACAGACATATGGGTGAGGGTTTATTACAGAAAAGGAAATGACTCAAAAGACAGCTGTACCATGAGAGCTCACCATGTCACAAAAGAAGTAAACTTGGAGCCCTCTGTACCATTTGCAGGCAGCTTGACAGGTTAGAAAACGTCTGTTGCAGGGAGCTCAGCTTGGCTGAGAATGCCTCTTAGCACCTTTTATCTACTTGGGAGGGAGGGGCCTACTGTGTCTGGTAGGTTTCAGGGACTTCCTGAAGCCTTTGGGTTGAATGTAAAGTTTCACATCCCTTGAGAACATTAAGTGCTCCTGGGGAAGAGGGGTTACTGGATTGGAGAGGAATCTTAATACGGAAGATGGCCGCCCTGGCAAGAGATCACATCCAAAGACCTTCTAGGTTTGGGTGATCCGGCTGGAATACAAACACACCTTTAATCCAGGAGACAGAGGCAAGCAGATCTGAATTCAAGGCCAACCTGGTATAGAGCAAGTTTCAAGTAAAGAAAAGCTTAGATCCAGGCATGGTGGTACATACCTTTAATCCCAAACAATGAAAGTAAAGATAGTTTGTAGAAGGAAGCATCCATGTTTGAAAGTGATGTCTAATTGAGTGGCAGAAGAGGTGACAAATCAGAGAAAGATTTGACAAAATAGGATAATCCCAACTCTCAGGAGAAGAGAGGGGAGCTATTAAGGGAGCAACACAGAGAATGAGAGAAAAGGTAGCTTTTACCGGGATAGTTTTACAGAGAGAGGTTGAATAAGCGGAGAAGCTAGACACAGGTGAAGACCAAATGAGTGAGCCGGAGAATGAGAAGGAGCCAGAAGATTAGAAAAGATTGCTGGAGTTTGATGCCAACTAGAGCAATTCAGGGGCTGAGAGAGAAGCCAGATTGAATAAATCACCTGGGAGAGGAATTTGAAGCAGAACAGCTGAGTTCAGTCAGACAGACCAGAGCTCAGTAAGAACAAGAAAGGGTGAGTTTATTAAGCAGCAAGTTTGAGAGGCTGAAAACCCTAAGATAGACAGTGCGGAGGCTAGAAGCTTCCAGGACTAGCCCTAGGTTAGCAGAAGGAGGTAGTAAGCCCCCGAGACAATGGAAACAGACAAATAAAAGTTCCTTTTACACTAGATCATAGTTTCTCTCTCCTGGAGAGATGGTTCTAGATCTTGAAGTAGAGAAGGCACTGTGCTTGGGCATGCTGATGATAATCCTGTCAAACTGGAGGATGGTGTAGTTGCTGCCAGAGTGCCTGGAGTTACAGGCTGCAGCCACGCCTTGCTTTGTGTTCTGGGAATCTGGACTCAAGTCCTCAAGCTTGGGCAGCTTCTGAGCCATTTCCCCAGCCTGATTTGGGTTTTGTTTTTAAATATTAAAAAAAAAAAAAAAAAAAGTTCATCAAGCCGGGTGCACACCTGTAATCCCAGCACTCTGGGAGGCAGAGGCAGGCAGATCTCTGTGAGTTCAAGGTCTATAAAGTGAGTCCAGGCCGCCAGGGCTACACTGAGAAACCCTGTCTTATCATAAAACAAACAAAATGCTCAGTCTATAGCCCTGGCTGGTGGATCTCTGAATTCAAGGCTGGCATTAGCTGGTCTCCCTCACCCCTTCCCTTTCCATCCTCCTCTTCAGTGTTTGGCTTTTTTTTCTTCTTCTTCTTTTTTGTTTGTTTGTTTTTCTCCAGACAAGGTTTCTCTGTGTAGCCTTAGCTATCCTGGAACTTAGCTCTGTACACTAGCCTGGCTTCAAACTCACAGAGATCTGCCTGCCTCTGCTTCCTGAGTGCTGTCACCACCCGGCCCCTGTCTTTGTCTCTTATTCCCTGCTCTTTGCCCCTCTGGGGCAGATAATCTTTGTGCTGAGAACTTGGTCTTGGGGTATCTCCAGCCAACTTCGAGGTTCCTAAAATAGCTCCAGCTCCTGGCTACTTTGTCCTCCTGTTCCTCTTGTTGGGAGTCTGCTTTTGGTATCCCTAATGACCAGCCTTTTTTTTTTTTTTTTCCCTTTTTCTCTTTCTTTGTTGTTGTTGTTGCCAGCAGCCAGTGTGTTTATTTGGACTTCCTGTCCTTGCACCTTCAAGTGGAGCACAGGAGACGGTTCTTGAAGTAGTGGAGCGCAAGCTTGAATTGGACCTGAGAATTGCTGTTGGTTCGGTAAGTGCTGTAAGACTTCTCCAAGGCAGCCAGCGCTGGATCTTTTGCTGGCGTCCGTGTTTGGTGCTCTACAGTCACGTCCTTGCATGAGCCCACCAACAGACTCCCCAGCCCGTCAATAAAGAACTCTGCAAAGAGAGGAGGAGCAGGGAACCAAAGGGAGCTGAAGCCACATAGCCAGGCGTCCCCACCCTCACTGTGGGCCCTGGAGCAGGAGGGGTGACAGGGGAGAGGGGGAGGGGAGTTCCTGGGTGCTGTTTTAGGTGGAAAAGACTTTCTGAAAGAAGAATGTAAAGCAGGGGAAGGTAAAGGGTGGAGCTGAAGGCAGGAAGAAGTAGGGTGTCTCAGATGGGCAGAGGCAGTCTAGGGGAGACACTGAGAGGTGAGGGTGGGGAGGGGGGACTGCGGGCTCCATCGTCAGGGGTGAAAGGGGAAGGAGCAAGAAGAGGTTCCCAAGGAGGACTCCCTCCCTCATCCCTCCAAGCTTCCCACCTGAGTGAGCCACTCTTTGCAGGATGGGATCAAAACCAACTCTTCGGAGTTGTTCTGTGTGAGCCAAGAAGAAGTTCGCAACACCGCTGGTCACCGTGCATCCCGGGAAGCCGTCCAGGGCCCGGAACCCTCCCCACCTCTGGTGAAGGCAGTCTCCATTCTCACTCTGTTCCAACAACAGCCTGAACTGGAAAGTGTTCCCCTGCACGCTGCCGCCCACCTAGGCCACAAACAGAAACCGGGGTCTGAGCAGGCTCAGTACTCTTCCCCTCTAGGAAGCTTCACTCTACGGCACCCCCATGGGGGTAGATGCTGTACTCTATGGAGCTAGCCTCCTCAGGACCCTCAGAGGCTCTGCCCTTCCTACACTGCTCCTGGGTCCTTCAGATCATTGAATCCCTATCTCCACATACAGGCACTCACATACGAATGTGTAGACACAGGCATACACACTTGCTTTATAGCCAAGGCTGGCCTTGAACTCCTGCTTCCACAGGCATGCACCAGCACACACAGTGTATATCTTTAGGGGTTTGGGTTTTGTTGTTGTCTCTGAGGTAGGGATCTATCAGGCTGGCCTTGAACTCACAGAGATCCTCCTGCCTCTGTCTCCCCAGTGCTGGGATTAAAGGTGTGTGCCACCATGTCCAACTGTATTTTTATATTTAAAAAACAAAACAATGTCATGGGGTGGGGGGTAGAGAGTAGTTAAAAGCACTTGTTCTTGCAGAGGACCAGGCTCTGTTCCCATCCAGCACCCACACGGCAATTCATATCCATGTGTAACTCCAGTTCTGGGATATCCAACACCATGAGTTCACAGAAATATAGGCAGCAAAACAACTATACACATAAAATAAAAAAAAATAAGTAAATCTAAAAAAGCTTGGGACCAAACAAGAACACAGTTCTCATAAACCTCATATAGTCCAAGAAAATCAGAAATGAGATGCGTAAACGCTCTGTTTTGAAAATAGAACAACTGCAAACCTTTTTAGTGTGGGGTATAAAATCTGCTCAAGGGAAGCCACTGGGGAGTCAAAAGCAGAATGCACGTGCTCTCCAGCCTTCCTGCGAGGCCCTCTCCTGCCTTGTCCTCCTCTCTGCTCCTCCCTCAGACACTGGTGTTCCTTTCTCTTCCTCTGTCCTTTCCCCTCACCTCAGGCTACAGCCGGCTGAACTTGGCCTTTGAACCTTACCACATCCAGTTCAGTTTTCTCCAGGACATCCACCAGCACCTCAATCTTGGTGTTGTTGTTGAAGAGAAAGTCATCGTCTACCCAGAGGACATATTTGGTGGTCACCTGTGAGATGGCCAGGTTCCTACCAGCAAACCAGCCCTGTGGGTAGCATGGGGTTGGGTCAGCAGCTGTCCCCTGGCGGGGTGAGGCTTTCGGAATTCCCAGTGGCCAGGCTGCCTCCCACCATGGACAAAGTTGGAGTGTGTGGGATTCCACAGTTCAGACAACTACTGGGTCAAAGGAGTCCACCTCTGAGAATCATGTTAGGGACAGTGATCTTCTGGATCAGAGGCTGAGACAAAGACTGGAAAGCCCCTCCTTGGACCAGTGGCCTCTGTGTATAGGCTGGAGTCCTTTCTCACTACAGTTTCCTTCTACTTCCTGGAAGATGGTGGTTTGGGGAACGTCTGCTATCAGTGATATCCCTCCCTCTTCTATCCTTGGTGGAAGATGGGAAGGAAAGAGGGAGGGAAGGAAGCAGACAAGGAGGGAGAAAGGGAGAGCTTAGCTTGGGCACAATCCCAGGGAACAAAAGGCTGCTGTTAACCCACACACAATCAGATGTCAGCTCCCTTAAGTCACTTATAAGAACCCCTGTAAGATGGAATAAACTAACGCTTTATTAACGTGGAAAAATGAGACCCACCTAATTTCCCTCTGAAGGGACTGCTCTTCCCACAGGACTGTGCTCCCTAAAGAAGGCATGGAAGCAGCTGAATCTGGAGGCCTCCTGTTTTGGGAGCTAGGTGTCCCCAGTCTGAGGGGAACATACCTTTCCAAAGGGCATGGGGTAATATTCCAAATAGTCATCTTTAATTTCCAGGGGCTGCTTGCTGTCATCGGCCACAATCACGGTTAAGTCTGGGTAATATTTTCGAATGCTCTGAAGCAGGATCTTAAACTTGTGAGGACGGAGGAAAGTCTTGGTGGCAATGGTCACCAGGTTTCTGAGCTTCCTCTCTAGAGAAAAAAAAAATGTAAAAGTGGATGCTAGCACCGCAGCTCTGGATTCGCTTTCTTCGGGTAGGGCTTGTTTTGGTTTGTTTTCTGTCAGGCTGGGGGTTTGAACCTAGGGTCTCATGCGTGCTAAGAAAGCATTCTATCAACTGAGTTACAGTTCCATCATCTGATGGCTTCTTTATCCTTTGACCTGCCAGCATGGGGGACCTCGTGCCTTCTGTACACAGGAGGTGCTTAGAGTTTGTCAGCTGCACTGGGAAATAAAGACATTGTAAAGTTGCCCAACTCGGTAAAATCTTTTCGTCCCTGGTTGGCTTCGCTGTGCTATTCTCCTGCTGTCAGGGTTCTTCATTTTCTGGTTGCCTCTTTCTTAGCAACCCCTTGTGAGTCCATCTTACTACTAGAAGTTGAGGTGCCCAGAGCTTTTTCTCTAAAAGGGGTTCCTGATGAAAGGTTCCAGGAAGAGAAGAAAAGGTCTAAAGGACTAAAAACCCACCCTTGTTTCAGTTCTAAGAAAGGCTTTCCTAGGAGAAGTCCCCTGGCCTCTGTCTCAGAGAGGCATGGTTAGAAGTCTACTTGAAGACCAGAGGACCTGGACCAAGTTGTTGACTGTAAAGTACGTCACTTGAAAAAAAAAACAACAAACAAGCAAACAAAAAACCCATAAGACTTGGAGGGGCTGGAGAGATGCTCAGTGGTTGAAACATTCGCCACTCAAATGTGTAGCTACCCAAGTTCATATCCCCAGAACCCACAAAAATGCTGGGAGGGGTATGGCAGCATGCCTGTAGTTTTAGCTTCAGAAGATGGGTTCAGGGGATCCCCAGGGCAAGCTGCCCAGGGAGACTCGCTGTATTATGGAGCCCTGGCTTTGACCAGGAGACCCGGTCTCAGTGAACGGGTGGGAGTGCCCTGAGGATGATCCCGGACAGAAGGCTAGGAACGACATCTGAGACGCTCCTCTGAACTTCATATTCCCACTGTGGTACGAGAGCACAGATGCGCACACAGACACAATCACTAGCTGCCTGGAATCTCACCGCTAACAAGGCTGAGTCCAGAGGATTACCAGTCTAGTCATATGGAAGGGATGAAAATCCAGCTCTGTTGGTAGAGTGCCTACCTACCTAACACACCCGAAGCCCTAGGTTTGATCCCTGGCAACTGGGCTTGGTGGTACATGCGTAAAATTCCAGCACTTGGGGACGCTAGGCAGTGTTGGAGGGCCCTGCTGTTTGAGGTTGCAGCCCTCCAGGACCAGATAGCCTTTCTGAGCTTGGCACTAGACAGAGGACTCTCCCTCTCCCTAGCAGGAACCTCACCTGGAGAGCGTCCTAAGGCAGAGATCCTCTAACCATACCTGGTGTATGACCTTCAGCACAGTTCCCTGCTAGCACTCCCCCTCTCCTTGTGCCTGTAGGATAAGTAGGTACTCTGTTCCCTAGGACCGTGCTGCCAAAGCATCCTTGGAACTCCTAGTTTCAACCAATTATGTACGCTTACCCTGGAGCCTCCTGCCCACTCCCTAAGGACTATATCTTACACCTGGCCTGGTGTCACACACCTGTGATGTCAGCACTCACGGAGGTAGAGACAGGCGGATCTCTGTGTGTTCGAGACCAGCCTGGTCTACAAAGTCCAGGACAGCCAAGGTTACACAGAGAAACCAAGGTTACACAGAGAAACCCCGTCTGGAAAAACAAATGTTATCTTGCTGAAGTGGTTTTCAGAGGTCATTCCGTAGTACTTGCTGGCCTTCCAAATCCCCAGTTTGTCCCCTCTGCCTCCTTGTTCCTGAGGACCGTTGGCCTGAGGAATGAGGGAGAGCCACAGGCAGGGAGTTCAATAATATTATTAACTATATATATATAGTTTGAGCTCACCCTGGGACACGTGAGACCTTGCCTCAATAAAGGGCTGAGAGGACTGGAGAGCTATGTTGGCAGTTGAGAGCACATACCGCTCTTGCAGGGACCAGAGTTTGGTTCCCAGCACCCACATCAGGTGGCTCACAACCACCTGTCACTCCAACTCTAAGGAGATCCAAATTCTGGCCATGTACACATGCACACACATACAGTTAAAAAGAATGAAAATGAATCTTAGGAGGGAAAGTGATCCTGGTCTTAGTTACTCTTCCACTGCTGTGAAGAGATGCTACGAGCGAGGCAGCTTATACAACAATCATTTAACTGGAGGGCTTGCTTACAGTGTCAGAAGGTGAGTCTGTGACCGGCATCGCTGGGAGAAAGGCAGCAAGCAGGCAGACATGGCACTTTAGAAGTAGTGGAGAGCTTACATCTTATTCACAAATTGGAGGCAAACTGGGTCTAGCCTGAGCTTTTGAACCAAAAAGCCAGTGACATACCTCCTCCAACAGGGCCACGCCTCCCAATCCTTCCCAAAATAGTTCCACCAACTACAGACCAAGCATTCAAATATATGAGTCCGTGGGAGACCTGGCCATTCAGACTACCACGCCCTCTGACTCTCACCCTGCCTGATGGACTCCCTGAACCTCAAAGACGAGAGCCTTACCAGGTCCAGGGTCATACAACTTGGGTACAACTGGCTGGTTGATGGTGACTGGAAACTTGACCACTGAGGACTTGGACTCCAAACTCACTGGAAGGAAAAGAAAAGTCAGAGGCCAGGCCGTGTCAGATCTGCTCAGACTCTGATGTCCTGAGGAAGCCAATGAGGCCAGCAGCTGCAGGGAGAGTCCTGGCTGGGAGGAGGCTGAGGACTCACGTAGACTGGGGCATCCTGACTCCTGACTTGCCGTGTATCCCTGGGGCTATGAGGATGTGCTGCTGGAATGGGCTGGAGATTCAAGGACCTGGATGAAGTTGGACTCTGCCATGCCCAACCTGAAACAGGTTCCTCCATCAGCTTCTCCGCTGACAAAACCAGGGCAGTAATATCCACTGTACCTTATCACATTTGGGGTCACATTCTGAAGAAAATGCTTTCAAATCTGAAGGTGGGGAGGATGCTCGCTATAGCCATGGAGGATTAACCTAGGGCCCCTGAGTCCTCCTTATTCCATCCCTTAGGGTCCTAGGCAAAGCAGGACCCCCCACCCACAGCCAATGTCATGTGGTTGCTGGGACTCAAACACAGGGCTCTGTACGTGCTAGGCAAGTACTCTACCAACTAAGCTGAACTTCCATTTGTCCATGCTACAATTTTTTTCTTGTTGCTGTGTCATGCACGTACTCAAAAAAGAAATAGATACTTTTAACTGATGCAGACAGAGGCTGAGGCTGTCCTGAGGCTGGCAAGACTTATTCTCCCAGTTCCCTGTCATGGGGGATGTGGAGAAAGGCAAAGCCATACCCTCACAGTCTCTCTGTCCATGAGTGCTTAGGACAAGATAGTGACATGCAGGCTGGTTAGGCTGGTCCCTCCTCAGCACAAGCTTTAAAGCTGCAGAGGGGTCATCAGAATGGCTCAGCAAAAAGAAAGGGAAGGAAGAAGGAAGGAAGGAAGGAAGGAAGGAAAGAAGGAAGGAAAGAAAGATGTATGGTTGTAATCCCAGCATTATGGATGCTGAGGTATAGGAGTTAAGAATTTGAGGCCAGCCCCAGGATACACAACAAGATCTACCTCAAGCAAATGGACAAACAAACAAACAGAGTGTGGTGGTACGCACGTGTAATTCCTAAACTTGGAAGATGAAGAAAGGAGGGTCCAGAGTTCAAGAACAGCCAGCTACAACCACAGAAAGGGAGTTTGGGATATCCTGGGCTACAGGAGAGCTTATCTCGAGAAACGAGGCTGGCGATGTAACTCAGTTGTCAGAGTGTGGTCTACCACACAGGAAGTCCTGGCTTTGATTCCCAGTCCCCCCATGAACGTTACTTGGAGGTACACTGCCTGTAACCCCAGCACCCGGGAGGTGGAAACGGGAGGGGCACACGTCCATAGTTTGAAGTTGGCCTGGGCCGTCTGAGATCCCGTGTATCAAGCAAAACAAAACCCCATGGATAACAGGAAGAACTGGAAGGTGCTGTGGTTGGGATCAGTGTCTGCCAAGGTCCATGTAGTATATATAGGTACAGGCCGCCATGGCGGCAGCGGGAGTCGGAGCCCTCAGAAACTAGGGGCTGATGGGAGCTGTCCGGGGCCCTGTGGGCATGCCTTGGAGCTGACAGCAGGACCCGCCTCCTGTCTCTCTGCTCCTGTTTGCTCCCTAGCTCTGAGGCGAGCGGCTCCTCTCTTATCACGCCTCGCCACAAAGCAAAAGGGCCAAGTCACCCCAGCCTGAGGCCTCCGAACTTGTGAGGCAGAGGAAACCTTTCCTTCTCCTCCGTTATCTCGGGTATTGGCTACGGTGACAGGACACCGACGTGGTGCCCACACGGCACCCTGTGGGTTCAGTGGCAGCAGGGGGACACTGCTGGGTGCTATCAATAGGAAGGTAATTGTCTGGGCTTAGAAACTGGTACACAGGAAGAATCTCTGGCGAATGCTTGCTTCCTGGAGGAGGAAGGCTTTGGGGGGGGGGCTTGGTGCTTTTTTCCAGCCCCCCCCCTCAGCATTTTGCAGCTGGAGGACGGATGCCTCACCCACGTCCACCTTGCGGAGATGGTACACTGCGCTGGTGTACGTCACGTGCTCAAGGACAAAATTCAGGACCCTCCGGTCGCTGGTGGAGATGGTCAGCTGCTTCTGGCCTCTGCCCTGTGCCACGTTTTCTGGGACGTCAGCAAGGGTGTTCAGTGTCCCCAGAGACGCTCTCAGGGTGACCTGGGGGTGACATTCACAGTGCTCATATTATTGTACCATCACCTCTATCCATCTGTAGAGGCCCTTTGGCCTACCCAGTGAAACTTTATACCTACCCGGCTGTAACCCCCTGGTCTCCCAGCCCTGAAAGATTCTAAACATCATGCACGGAGAAAAATCCATTCACAGGTAGGGCAAGTACCCAAGATGGCCAGCAGGGGGCAGAGCACCCAGGGTACAGAGCCACCTTCAAGCGCTAGGACAGGCAGAGACTCGGAAATTTAAAGAACCCATTCTGCAAATATCTCTATCTCTGTCTTTTTTCTTTTAAAGATTTATTTATTTTACATATGAGTGCTCTATTTGCATGTGTATCTGCATGATAGAAGAGGGCAGCAGATCTCATTATAGATGGTCGTGAGCCACCATGTGGTTGCTGGGAATTGAGCTCAGGAGACCTCTGGAAGAGCAGACAGTGCCCTTAACCTCTGAGCCCTCTATCTCTGTCTTAATGGACATTGTTCTTCAAGACTTCAAGAGCCAGGCGGTGGTGGTGGCGGCGCGGCGGCGGCGCACACCCTTAATCCCAGCACTTGGGAGGCAGAAGCAAGCAGAGTCTCTGTAAGTTCCAGGTCTACAGAATGAGTTCCAGGACAGCCAGGGATACAACAGAAAATCCCATGGCTGGAGGGCGGGGCCCATGACAACAAAGAGGACTTCTAGATTATTTCTTCTTCCTCCTCTTTCAAAAAGATCTCCGAGTTCTCACTCTGTTGCCCGGAGCATCCTTGAGCTCCAGGGCTCAAGAGTTCTCACTGCCTCCTGCCACTACCTCCCCAATATCTGAGACTACAGATGGGGGCCACTTTGCCTTGCTCCCCTGCTGCTGCTGCTGCTGCTGCTGCTGCTATATGATTTCTGTTTGTCAGTCACGGCTGCTCCACCTCCCTCTGACGTCTGATGGAAATTTTCCAGAGCTTGGTTCTGGGTCTTCCGAGTTATAATTCCCTGCCAGAGGATTTTACCCATCATCCAGAGATACCATCATCTTTCAAGTCGTTTCCAAATGTTTATCGCAGCCCACTTTGGTGGCACGTGTCTTTAATCCCAGCACTCAGGTGTCTTGTGAGTTTGGAGCTAGTTTAGTCTACATAGTGAATTTCACGCTGGTCAGGGTGAGGTAGTGAGACCTTGTCTCAAAAAAAGAGTAAATCGAAACGTTTGTCTGACTCATCCCACTGCCTTCACCCTTTGCCCCGTGTGGTGGTTTGAAATGACAACAACTCCTAAAGGTTCATATGTTTGAATTCTTGGTCTGCAGTTGGTGGAATTGTTTGGGAAGGATTGGGAGGTGTGGCCTTGTTGGGGGAGGTATGTTACTGGGGCAGGCTTTAAGCCTTCAAGAGCATCCCACCATCCTCAGTGTGTCCTCTGCCTTTTGATTTCGATTTGAGGCGCGGCTCTCAGCTGCCACCATGTCTTTGCTCTGCTATCAAGGACTCTCATCCTCTGGAACTGTAAGCCCAGTTAAATGTCTGTCTGTCTGTCTGTCTGTCTGTCTGTCTGTCTGTCTGTTTGTTTGTTTGAAACAGGGTTTCTCTGTGTGTAGCCATGGCTATCCTGGAACTATCTCTCTAGACCAGGCTGACCTTGAACTCTCAGCGATCTGCCTGCTCCTGTCTGGTATCAAAGGCATGCACCACCATCTCCTAGTTTTAAGTGCTTTTATAAGTTGCCTTTGTCATGGTGTTTTTCTCACAGCAATGGAAAAGTAATTAAAACAGAAATTGGTACCAGGTTCGTGGGATAGTGCTATGACGGACCTGACCATATTTTTGAAGGAATGTGGAAGATCTGGGGACGTTGGACTAGGAAAGTGGTTAAATGCTGTAGGCAGAGTTTAATGGGCCATCCTAGGAGGGGAAGGCTGCCGTGATGGAAGCTATGTGGGTTGTGGAGGCCCAGCTCCAGAGGTCTCAGAGGGGAACAACAGTAGGGGCTGGGCTAGAGGCCATCCTTGTGATAATTTGGTAATGTCTGCCTTCTGCCCTCAACCTAAAAACTTGCCTGAAGTGAAGTTAAAAAGCAATGGACTAATTTCTTCAGCCGAGGAGATTTCAAGACAGCCCAATGATGACTCTATTATACGGTTATTAGTGATCATTTTTAAGCAGGTGTACGCTGAAAAAGAGCACGTGGGGCAAAAAGAAGTTCAAAATGTACAGCCTGAAGAGAAAAAGAGTAGGCCAGTAAGCAGCGTCCATGTCCATGGCTTCTGCTTTGGGTCCTGCTTCCAAGTTCCTGCTTTCGGTTCCTGCCTTGACTTTGAGGATGAATTATGCTGTAAAACCACAAACTGAAACAAAGCCCTTTGTTTCCCAAGACGCTTTTGGGGAACAAAAGCTTGTGGTGTTTAGCACAGCAATAGAAACCCTTACTAAGCCACCCTGCAAGGAAGGCTTGCATGCAACTCAAGAGTTAAAAAAAAAAAAAAAAAAAAAAAGCAAACAAACAACTAAACCGCTGGGCTGTACAGTGGCAGAATATGGCTCAGCTGTACAATCACAGAAACCAGAATACAGAGCCCAGCACCTACATAACAAGCTGGGCAGCCTGGAGAAGCCTGTAACTCCAGCTCTGAGACACCAGACGTTTCTTCTGGCCTCTGAGCACTGAGGCATGAGTTCACTTCACAGCACAAAAATAAAAAATAAAAGACAACCAGGACAGGAGCCTTCCACAGAGGGCCTCTGAAAGACTCTACCCACCAGGGTATCGAAGGAGATACTGAGACTCATAGCCAAACTTTGGGCAGAGCGCTGGAAACCTTGTGGAAGAAGAGGGAGATAGAAAGACCTGTAGGGACAGGAACTCCACAAGGAGAACAACAGAGCCAAAAAAACCTGGGCCCAGGGGGACCTGCAGAGACCAATACTCCAACCAAGGACCATGCATGGAGAGCATCTAGACCCCCTGTTTAGAGGAAGCCCACAGGCTGCTCAGTTTCCAAGTAGGTTCCCTAGTAAGGGGTCCATGAACTCAGTGTCAGGCTCTTTGATCACCTCCCGCTGGGGAGTACAGCCTTGCCAGGCCACAGAGGAAGATGATGCAGCCAACCTTGATGAGACCTGATGGGCTAGGGTCAGATAGAAGGGGAGGAGGACCTCCCCTATCAAGGGACTAGGGGAGGGGCATGGGGGAGATGAGGGAGAAAGAGTGGGACTAGGAGGAGATGAGGGAGGGAGCTGCAGGGGGGATACAAAATGAATAAATTATAATAAATAAATAAAATTTAAAAAAAGAAAAGAAAACCCGCTAAATCAGTTTGTCACTAATAGAAACTGCCGATGCCAGCCCATCATCCCCTCTCACCGCCATTGGTACTTGCTTCTATTCCAGCTCTCAGATGCCCAAAGAGCGGCCATTCTTGTTCCTCCTACCTGCAGCCCACCTGGGAGCAAGTCCTGCCCATTGATTCTACCTGAAGATGCAGCTGGAAAGCAGGCTTCTCTCGTCCCCACCACCCTAAAGGCCACTCTTTCCTTTGTCTGCCATAGGCAGGCGTCTTTGTGGGGAGACGACTGGGTTATGGCCACTCTTCTGAAAACTCAGGTCTATCAACAGAATGAAAGTCTCCGTGAAGCAAGCCCGTAGGCCAGTGAGGATGAGAAGCATACAGCCACTCCCACACCATAACCAGGCACACAGTGAAAGGGGCTAGAGGCATGGCTGGGTGGTGGAGCATTTTCCCAGCATGTGTAAGGGCCTGGATTCCCTAACACCCCCAAAAGTAGTCCTAGTTATGAGAAAGATGACAGGGATAGGATGGGGGTTGGGGGAGCGTATGTGGGTGACAGAGATGAGATCTCTGAGGACAGCGAGCAACTCACGTATCCCCACTCCAGCCTGTGGGGGTGGAGGATGCAGACAGCACAGGGTGTAAGAACGCTTGTCTAAGTATCAGAACCTGAATTTGCATGTCCCCAAACAGAAACATCAGGCAACCCCAGTAACCAAAGAAGACAGACAGTGAGGCAGGAGGCTCGTGGGGAATTGTTGGCTGTGAGCCTGGCCAAAAGAACGGTGAGTTCCCCAGTGCCTCAAGGGAATAGGGGGGAGAAACAGAGGAGGGTGCCTCCAGATTCATCCCTGTGCACATATCCCGAGCTTCATTTCCCAGGCCTTTTGCAGGTTCCAAATGGGATCATGCCTCTCGCCCTTCAGACGTCCCATCCTAAGGCCTCAACCCAGAGCTACACTGTGAGGGGAGGAAAACGGGACAACCCACACTCTTGTGGTCACGGGCCACATGTGGCGGCGGCTCCCTCGTAAAACAAACACAGCCATGGAGGTGGCCTCGTGCTTTGTGTAGCATTGGAAGTCCTGTCCGCAGCCATTCCAAAGGCTAGAAAACTCCTGCGCAAGGGCCCCGCGTCCCGCTTTGCATTCATCTGGTGTTTCCGCCGGACGAACGATCGGGGTTAAAGACTGAGGTCAGCCACAGTCGTGGAAGCAAGAGCAGAGCCGAAAATGCTGGGATGGGGACGCCTACCTCATAGACTGGGGCATCTGGCCCTTCATACCGGAGGCCTAGAAGACACAGGAGCAACAAAAAAGGATCTGAGTGGACAGGGAAGCTCACCAGCACACCTCCCCACCTCTGACCCCTACATATCTGAAGACCCGCCAAGTGTCACTTCCTATCAGGTGGCTGGCCTCCAGGTCGGTCCCCCATGAGATGGTCTTGAGGTCTCAAACCCACGCGGCTCTAAGGCTTCCGGTGGGGTAACGGGGAGACCCACCCACTAGGCAGGGGACCCTGGACCGTGTGGATGGACAGAATGAGCTGAACACTAACGCGCACACATCCGGGTCCCTCTTCGACTGACCGCACACACTGTACGGCGCAGGCGCCTCAAGTTCCTGAGGCCTCGACCGGGCACGAGCAATGCCTCGGGTCTGAACCCCGGGACTCTGGGATCAGGAAACAGCTCAGAGAAGCCGCTGTGTGTGTGTGG